TGCAGGAAAATAATAAAAAAAATTTTTTTTAAAGAACCCCTGAAGAGGAAGAACAACTCAATTTTTAAAAGGGAAAATTTGGGGAAGAAAAAAATTTTCATTGAAATATACAAGTAAAAATAATTTCTGGAGCCCGAATTAAATCCCAAAAAAGCTGTCCCTTTTTTTTTTGTAATAAAGAAAAATTAAATTAAAATTTAAAATTTTTAAAACAAAATTTAAAAAATATAAAAAAATTACTAAATTGTTAACTGGGAAATTTAAGTTTTTTTCTAAGAAAGCCCTAAAAAGAGATTAAAATATAATTCATAAAAATATCAATAAAAAGAAAATAAATTCCCCTGCGAACAAATGCAACAAAATAATTATGCAGTAATAAAGTGCAAAAGGGGGAAAATCAGGTTTAAAAGAAAAAAAAATTTTAAAAAAGGAAAAAAAAACTGATTTAACCTTTAAATCTTAATTGTTTAAAATTTGACAAAACAATTTACTCAAACAGAGTAAGGGAAAAAAAAATTTCGTTTAAAAAATAATTGAAAATTTCTCAAGAGGGGAAAATTTTTTTTAAAAAAATATAAAAATATGAAAAAAAATTAAAACCCAAAAAAAAAAAACGGGTAAATTAACACTTACAAATGGCGGGGCCCAAAAACATTATTAGTATATTTTACAACAAAATCTTGCTGTGGGGTGATACGGGCAAAAATTTTCTGGCAAAAATAATGGTACACAGTTGCGAAAAAATTAGAGGAATTGGGGAAAATGCTGGGAAAACGAAAAAAAAAAAAAAAAAAGACCACATAGAAATAAATGGAAAAAATTTTTTATTTCTGGGGTGAAAAAACACTTATGAAAAAACAATGACAATTACTGGAAAATTTCAATGCTGAAAAAAATACCCCTAAAAAAAAAGAATCACTTCACACAGAGTGATGACCCGGGACACTAAAATAATAAATTACTAGAGCAAAGGAGTTTGCATAAAGAAAAAAAAACACATAAAAAAAATATAAAAAAGTGAAAACATTTTAAAAACAAAGGTTTTGAGTACACAAGAAATTTACTTAAATGTTTCACAAAATTTTCAAAGGTTCCCTTTAAAATTTAAAAAAAATGGGCTCTAAATATCACTGAAGTCTGTATAGTGGCGGGTAAATTTCGGTGAGAGGGGGGTTGGGAGGTTGTCCTGCGCGGGGGGAAATGACCCCCCCTACACTCACCCGTTGTCGGAAGAAAAGCGCTTTCCCGGGGGACTCCCATTTAAATTTGGGGTTTTTTCGTTGGGCTCACCCACAATCTCTTGAAACCAAATTTTGGGAGCCCCAAAAAAAGTATTAGGACCCCGGGACAAAGGGGACAAACAACCACAGGTAGATGAGGTGGGGGGCTTTGGGGGTTTGGGATTTATGTTTTGGGTTTTGGGGTGGAGGGAGAGCGTTGGGTGAGAGAACCCCTTTTCTGACGCCACTGCCGCGCACCCCACTCTACCCACGAAGGTGGCTTATAAGCCCCTCTAAGCCACAGGAAGGTGAAAACCCCCTCTTACAACCAACAGGGACACAAAGCGATATAGAGCAATATGCAGAGGAACTTGGCTTAAAATTTTTTACTGGGGGGGGGGGGGGGTGGGGTTTCCTTTTTCCTCCAGCGGGGGTTTGAAAACTGGGTTGGCTGGGCTGGTTTTAACCCCCCCAAAATGGCTGGCTGGAAGACGTGTAACGATGCACAAAGGGACGGAAAGGGGCGTTGGATGACAGGAACAGGTGGATATAGGCTGACTGGCGTTCATTCCACATTTTGGGTTCTGGGCCCGGCCTTAAAATTTCAAAATCCGGGGGCAAACCCCCCCGAGATTGAGAAAAACCCCACGAACTAAGCCCCCGGGAAACTTGAAACCCGGTGCAACAGGCTTGCAGGCTGGAGGTTTTTGAGGGGAAAATAAAAGGGGTGGTGGAGGGTTTAACCCTTGACCCCGCCCGGGTACTCACAACAGTCTTGTAACGCCTGAATTAAACCCCCTTAAAAAAAAAAATCCAAAGCTCCCCCAACCCGGGGCCAACCTTTTAAACATGTGGGAGTTCGAAAAACCGGGGGATTAGGGAAGAAATACTCACTAGGTGGTATTTCGTTAATTACAGATAAGGTGGATGACGCCCCTTTCAAACCGTGCCGCCCCCTTTCTCACTCTGTTAAAATGACTGACTTTACTGGGCCGCCCCCCGTACCCCTAGGGGGGGTCTTTGAATAAAGCCCGGGCAGCGAATATGAGTTCAGATTTGTGACCCAGGCAGGGACGGTTGGTCGTGAAGGGGCAACTGGCAAAAGTGGTTTCTGGTAAAATGGTTTTACTACTAGAGGCTGATGATGAGACCAACTGGTCTCATAAAAGTTTGAAAATTTGAACAGGGTGGCCCGGTGGCCCGGGGGGCCAAAAACCCCCCTTCCACACCGGGAGGGGCCCGGGGGTTTTATTCCCCGGGGGGTGGAAAAAAATTTGGGCACGTTTCCTTCAAAATGTTGTCCTGTTCCCCAGCCCCAAATAGGTTTCCCGGGGTTAGTGGGCTGGTTGGGTCGCATCCTGGGGGGCAAGAATTTAAAGGCCCCCAAAGTAAATAAGTTTAGACAGTCCCGATGACGCAAGACCCTTTTTGGGGTTAAACCCGGGTGGCTAACCCCCCGGGGGTTTAAAAATCCGGGAAAGAAATCTTAACATTATGTATGTAAAACTGAACAGTGTGCGGGGTGTTTTAAACAGGGCCCCCCGGCCCCCCGGGGTAACAAAACATTTTGTGGTGGAGGGGGGAAGCAAAACCCCAAGAGTTTTAAACTTCTTTGGGAAAACTGACTTTTCGAATATTTTAAAAATTGACTTAATTTTCTGTCCCTTGCTTTGAAAAATACCATTTTGGTTTTTGGAAAAAAAAAACGTGTTTAATAAAAGGGTTGATATTCTTTTTTAACTCCCGGGAGTGGCAGCCAATCCCTCTGCCGCCCCTGGCAGCAGCTCTCTCATTGGGTGATCAACTATTGCCCCAAAGTAGGGGGAAAAAAAAACGATTTTAAAAAATGAAAAAAATAATCATCATACCCTTTTTTTTACGGCCCCTCAAAGAAGGTTCCTTTACGCGGTGGGGGGGTCTTGACTAGGGGATTGGATTGGTTTTCCCGTTTTTAAATTTAATTAAGCTTTAATACCTTCCATCCCCCCAAAAAAGGGGACTCTGGGGGGGGGGGGGTGGAAGGTATACAGGGCCCTAGTTACTCATTGGCATTTTACTATTATAGAAACCGTTGTTATGCTGACATTTCCCGCAAATTAGGCAGTTTTTTCCCCCGGATGCGACCCACACCGGTCCACTAAAACCCCCGGATGTTTTACTTCTAGGTGAAAAATGGACAAAAGGGGTTTTAAAAGGGGAAAAAACAACTTTACATTTAAATAGTTACGAAAGTTAGTAACTTCATGAAACATTCCTGAAATTAAATTTACTTTTTGGATCCCCCAGACCATCAAGTGTAACAGAGTATGAAGGGGTTTTTTCTGAAGTTTTTTCAAATTTTTATCCTTAAAAAAATTGCAAGGAAACCTCTAGTGTCCATCATATTTGCTTTTAATGTCAATAAAATTTTTGATAATTACTTTTGTTTTTTGGAAAATTTTCAGCCCCATCATGACCTCTTTAAGGTCAGGTTACATTTTTCAGGTAATAGGGAGAAATGTTTCCGGGTGACCAGGGGGCTGAGGGTTTTGGCTATCTTAACCCAGGCCTTCCGCTGGCTTTGCCCCTCCACCCCTTTAAAAATTATTTGGGTTTTAATTATAACCATTTTTATAAACCCCCCTTTTTTTTTTGCCTGTGAACGCTTGCCGGTTTTTTGATAATTAAAAAATACTTTATCTATAAACCTTTCGTGATTTTTCTTATCTTTTTGAAAAGTTTAAAAAGTTTTGGGGGGCCCCAACTCCCCTTTTATCACTTTTAAAAATTTTCCCGGGCCCCCAAAGCTTAATTTTGATATTTCTAAAACATTCGCTTCCAAGTGTCTTTCCAATGACCCAAAAAATTGGATTTTTAAAGGGAAATTCCCCTTTTCAAATAATTTTTACAGTAATTTTTCACTATTTTACAATAAGTCCAAAAACCCAAAAGGGGTTCCATGTGAAAAAAGAAATATATGAAATACTTTTTTGTTTCAGCAGTGAATACCTACTCGCGAGGCAGAAAGTTAGGAAAACCTTTGTTTTGAGCCCCAAATGTTGGCTTGGAGGGGCCCGACACTTTCCCCAAACCCCGGGCAACGAAACCCTCAGCACTCCCTGAGAGTCGGACACCCAAAGTCGCCCAAAAAAATCAGGGGCCCTTGGGATTACCACTAGGTGGGCTGACCACCTTACTTACAGTGGATGACAACAGAATCGGGTTTTTTTATTATGGGCCGGGTTTAAAAAAAACAAGGGGCCCCAAATACAAGAGTTAATGGTTGCAGTCTACACGATCGTTTTAAAGCACTTTGGCACAAAAACAAAATCTGACGCCGCTAACGTGTTTCTTCAAGAAACATGTTTATATTATTATTTGTCTGCGATCTTCAATTTATTAAAAAAAAAAAAAACTATTCTACGCACTTTTATGATGTTAGATAAATGTACACACATACATCTAATGTGGCATTTTATTGTGGCAATGTTTCGCTTTCCAGGAACTTTCACAATAAAATCTCACATTAATTGCGTCTGTGTCCATTTACCAAATATTCTGTCGGAAATTCTACCATTATTATTAGTGTTATGATGCCTTCAGATAACGTTCCTTTTTAACCTGCTGAGAAGACCTACATGTGCAGTTAAGAGCCTGCTAAATATCACGTAACATTTCACCCTCATGGGAAACTTAACAAATTCTGGTAAATTCACAACTGTCTTCTGCAAGTTGATCAATAAAACCCCGTGGAAAAAGGTGTTCATTTATTACTTAAATTAATTATAAACATGAGGAAGGGAGTCCACAATACATAACTATGTTAAATAAGATAAATACAGTAGATGATGCTGTTCCATGATTATTGTCGTCAGGCCTCCAGCAGCAGCAGCAGCAGCAGCAGCAGCAGCAGCAGCAGCAGCAGCAGCAGCAGCAGCAGCAGCAGCAGCAGCAGCAGCAGCAGCAGCAGCAGCAGCAGTTGTAGCAGTTGTAGCTGCAGCAACAGTTGTAGCAGCAGCAGCAGGCTCAGACAGTTGCTCGCTACTTCCCGAAGCATCCGTTTGTGAGTCCTGGTGCAATGCAGAGAGCTGTGACTGAGACGGTGGTGCCGGCGAGGTAGGAGGTGGAGGTGAGGGTGAGGGTACTGACGTAGGTGGACCAGATGGTAAATTTTTTACCATCTCTGTTATTTACCACCTGCCTCGAGCCTCCACTCTGTGGATAAACTTCCTCTTCATATTCTGCCTCCGACTTACTTCCTGTCAACTCCCGCCTCGAATCTTCCTCCAAATCTTTCCACGAGCTGTGTGGCAGATAATACGAACGTCAAACATAACGCAATAATTGTATTGGGAGAGGAGTGGGATTCGAATATAATGAATTTGATACAAAATGGGAGTTGTTCAGTTGCTTTTTTTCTAATGACACTTTTCTGTTGAGAGATTCTGAAGAGAAGTTGCCAAGGATAGCCGAGGAATCTGATAAGAGTAACAAAATCTAGACACTGAAAAGTTGGATATCAGATGAGAGAGAGAGAGGGAATATAGAAGAAGTAAATTTGTTTAGATGTTTAGGAAAAGTTATGTCAGTGGTTGGGTCTTTGGAAGATGAAATGAACCATAAAATTCACGAGGGTAAAAAGGTGGCTGGTTCACTGAGGTCTGTGTGGAGACAAAGAACGGTGTACATGGAAGCAAAAGGAGGAAATGTTTCAGAGTATAGTGTTACCAACACTTACATGGATGTGATGCATGGGTTCTGAACGTTACAAAAAAATGAGATTGGAGACAGTATAGATGTCGTATTTGAGGACAATGTGTTGTGTGAATATTATGCAGAGAATCAGGAGCTTGGAAATCAAAAGGTGTGAGGTTAAGAGAAGTATTATTGAGAAGGTCGAATAAGGGTTGTCGAGGTGCTTCGGACATTTAGAGAGGTGCAAAATAGTATGACTAAGAGGGAGTAGACATCGGGAGTGAAGGAAAGAAGAGGTAGAGAACCTCCAAGGAAGGTTAGAGGGAAGAGGTAAAGGAGGTTTTGAGTACTGGTGGCTTGGGCATTTAACAGGCATGTATGAAAGAATCAGAAAGGAATGGAGGCAAGAGGATTTCATAATCTGATGGGCTATTGGAATGTGAGCAAGGTATTTATGAAGGGTTCGGGAAAACAGGTTAGCTAGGCTTAAATCCTGGAGGTGGGAAGTACGATGTCTGCACTAAAGGATGGGTGGGAATGTTGCAGTTCGGGGGACCATCTGAATTCTGATATCAACTTGCTTCTAGCAAGAAAATGATTGTATAAATGATGCTGAAAGTGCTTTCTCTCTCTATTGAGACCCTACCTGGGTGAGAAATAGCCAGTGTGTTGCACGCACACACACACACACACGCACACACACACACACACACACACACACACACACACACACACACACACACACACACACACACACACACACACACACACACACACACACACACGTACACACACACGGAAAGCTTATCAGGAAAAAGAGTGGGTGGAGCACCTAGAAAGGAATGGGCTCATACATGGCAGCCAGCAGGGCATCATGGAAGGGGAAAATGCTACATCAACGACCAACTGGAGTTCTATGATAAGCTAAAAGAAGTAAGACAGGAGGGAGAGAGAGGGATAGGTAGACTGCATCTTCATGGACTGTAAGAAGGCTTTCGATACAGTACCACACAAGAGACTGGTTGACAAGCTAGAGGAACAGGCATGCAGAGCAAAAGAAAGTACTGCAATGGATCGGGAATACTGACAGGAAGGAAGCAATGTGTACTAGTAGGTGACGAGGTGTCAGAGTGCATGTGTCGTGTGGGGTTTCACAAGGATCAGTCCTGGGTCCGGTGCTGTTTCTAGTATATGTGAATGGCATGACAGAATGGAGATTCAGAGGTATCCCTTTATTGCAGACGATTTAAAGCTAATGAAAAGACAAGAAGTGGGCGAGGATCAGGTTAAGCTGCAAGGAGATCTGAATGAGCTACAAGCTTAGTCCAACAAATGGCTCCTGGAGTTTAACCCCCGCAAGTGCAGTCTGAAGTTTTATGTTGACAAAAAAAACTCAGAGGAGACAGTCTCGAGGTGAAAAAACTGCAAAAAATCAAAAAAAAAGC